CATCTGATCTTAAATATACGATTTTGTATCACATTCCACAGCACTACAGACATAGAAGTCTTTCTCAGTTCTACAGCTCATAACTAATTTAAACCTGAGTCATGAACCTCTTTGCAATTTCCCAGTCTTTTATTTTCATATGACTGACTTAAATTATTCAAACCAGTTTGACAACTACTGCCTCTATAGTTCTAGCCTTCCATGTTAACAAAAGGCCACAGAAAGACTTCATTTGTCACTATATGTCAGATAATACTGGTTGAGTGGAATCTGAACTGAGCCTTAGTTTCCTCATCTACAAAAGGAGGATAACTATTGATACATTTATCTTTTGCTACCTCTTGGGGTTGCTGTGAGATTTTCAAAACCTGTAAAGCCTAATACAGACGTAAGGTATTATGATAGATGCGTTGAGCTGAAAAACACATTATGTACTCAAAAGTACCAAGAAATTAACTTTGTCACATAAGCTTCCAAATTGTGAGTTTAAAAAAATTGGTTTTTAGGTGACATATGACGTAGGTAGGTGGGAGAAAGTAAAACCTATATTTGAAATAAAAGGATTCCATCAACAACAAAATCTCTGAAATGATATGACCCACAATATTAATTTACCTTCACTTTGGAAGACAAATTAACAATACTGGCGTATCATTTTAGTACTTTGGTAAAATGTTAAATCACATTATAATAGACATCATACTTTTGGACTTTAATCCAAATGCTTTAACTCCTGCATACAATTTATGCTTATATTTTAACTAATCCCTCACTTTTCCAAAGTTACTTAGAATCTTTTATTTTCATATTACATAACAAAAATTGTCCTATACCGGAAAGTCCAAAACTCTAATTTCAATCCACTACAGCTCCCTCCCCATCTCCACCCCAAAACACCACTGAACTGCTATAAACTGACAAATTGGGCTTCTCTTCTAGCTAATCTTTAGGTGAAACAACGAAGTAACTTAAAACTTGAAGGAAGGGGGCCAAGAAAAGGAAAAAATGGGTTCTCAGAGTTTATAATTTAGACCAGGGTTGGCCTGTTTTTTAAATGCAGTTCTGGAACACAGCCATGCCCTTATTATCCAGGGCTGCTTTTGCTGCAATGGCAGAGATGAGACAGAGACAATAGAGGCACTGGCCCTTTAAAGAAAACATTTGCCAAACACTGGCTAGACAACAGTACTGAAAAGAAAACAAATTCTCAATAAGTCAAAATGTTTGCCTTTGTAATAAGATTAACACTTACTTTTGTTAGATCTAGATGACTCTTATTTTGCTCTGCTGGGATGAGGTCAATGTGACCATTTCCTACTATCCTGGTCTAAGCCACGGTCTTTTACCCTTGCATTACTGCAACTGTCTCTCATTTGGTCTTGCTGTCTCACTCAATACACTACTGTCTATCCTCAAACTTAGCAGTCAGATCAGCCCTTTAAAAACCTGTCCTGGGGCTTCCCTGGTGGCGCAGTGGTTGAGAGTCCGCCTGCCGATGCAGGGGACACGGGTTCGTGCCCCGGTCCGGGAAGATCCCACATGCCGCGGAGCAGCTGGGCCCGTGAGCCATGGCCGCTGAGCCTGCGCGTCCGGAGCCTGTGCTCTGCAACGGGAGAGGCCACGGCAGTGAGAGGCCCGCGTACCGCAAAAAAAAAAAAAAACAAACCTGTCCTGTCGTGTCTCTCCTCTGCTCCAAACCTTCCAATGACCTCTCACCTCATTTAGAAGGAAAACCAAAGTTCTTACAATGGCCTATAAAATCTTAATGATTTGGGCCATATTATTTCTTACACCATCTTTATCACTGTCCTGTTCCCTCATTCCCTCTCCAGCCAAACTAACCTCCTTCCTGTTCCTTGAACAAAAAGCCAGACGTATTCTGCATAAGTCATTAAGTCTTTTATGATGGCCATCCTCACTGCCTGGAACACTCTTCAGATACCTGCATGACTAACTCAGTTACTTCAATAGTCTGCTCAAATCTCACCTTAAAATGAGGCCCGTCCAGGCTACTTCACCCTGTAATTCCTTATTTCTCTCCCTTCTAGTATATATGCTTAACTTATGCTATATTATGTTTATCATTTGTCTTCCCTCCCACCCTATCAAGTCTAGGTCTGGAACACTGGTCAGTTTGTGGGAGAAGGGAAAGAAGGATAAATGTGCTTACAAATAAGGAGGTAGAAAATATACGCTTTTCTTTAAAAAGTATTATAGGCAATTGAGCAGGAGGGAAGCAGGCAGGAGTAGGGAGTAAATTTCCAAGTTAAAAAACAAAACAACTTCAAAGCTTTAAATAATGTGACTTATTGCCTTTAAACTAAAAACTGTAAAAAAAAAAAAAACCAAAACCAAAACCCTATTTTTTTCTTCTCTTAAGAAAAAGTATTTGCAGAAGAGAATTATCTAAAACTGTCAAATGAATTTTAAACAAACAAAAAAATATTATGTGCCACTCTTGCACTTACTGCTTTAACCTATTATCTAAAACTGCCGTAGCATTAAAAGAGAGAGAAAAACAAACAAAAATCCCAACTGCTGCAGCTGTTTAACATATCAAAGGAATTTAACACGACCAATTAACATGACCATTTAACATGACCAATCAATAAATGGAATATCCCTGGACATAGTTCTATGTCTCTTTACCCCAAACACCTCACATCTATAACTTGCTTCCAAAAGACTAATGAGATTACAGCTGTCAATTCAAAGCACAGATAGATGATGAAATAAAGACAAAGCTGATGTCACAGTACGAACGCAGTAAGGCAAGCGCACCAAAGCAGTGTCCTGTGCCCGTTCCCACAATCCCAAGTCACGGCCACAGCAATCGTCAGCAATGGTCTCTGCCTCCTCTAAGAATGGATAAATGAATACAAAGTTAACACAGCAAGATCGATGACAACATCCCTCTGAGTCAGAGGTGACAACTTAAAAGTACATATTTGGTTGCCGTAAAAATCATGATCACTTTAAGACCTTGAAGAATTACACAGCCACAATATAACCGCACTCTCTGTAGAGCAATAATCCTTTATTTTGAAATGGTATTGATTGAACAAATCTTGTAAAGGAACTTCTGTATGACTACAAGGTGGCAGAGCATTCTCATATGTCATTACGAAGTTCTCTTTTAGTGATTATCCATCAAATTAACAATAACTTCCTGCAACTGTCAGGGCACGGCCAGAGCGCGATCTTCGGCTTGGTTTACAATTAAACACTTTTTAAATCAAGCTACCCTTTTCTGAGCATTTACTCCATGTCAGATATTGTGCTAAGTGCCTCAACGAATTCACCTGCCTTTAATCCTCACAACAACCCTGTAAGATTGGCACTACTATTATCTGCACTCTACAGAGAAGGAAACTGAGGCTTAAGTAAGCTAAAAACCTTGAACCTAGAACCGAAGTATGCCTATTCCAAAGCCTGTTCTTAACCATTATTAGAACTGCCTCTCTGAATTCTCCTTGCCTCTGCATCACAGCACTAAAATAAATGAGGCTGAATATCACCTTATTCCGTGTTGTATTACTAATTAGTTAACAGGAAGGAAAACTTTTCTCAATCCTTCACAGTCTTGCGTACTTTAGGGCTGTTCACTATTAGGATAAGTAAGACAAACTGGAAAATAAATTTTAAAATCTGCAAATGTGGATGTCCAACATTTCAGAAAATATTAGTTAAGCGACATAATTAAATCTGTATAAAAAAAAAAGCCAAACTAATTACATGCCTGGTTGAGCCACACAAAGGAAAACAACAAAGGCAGCTGAATTAGGAAATGGGAGAGTTGGAATTCGTTCCCGGTTCTATCAATGTGTGCATCTTTGGCCTGGTCATTTAACCCTTCACAACTCATTTTTCTCATCTTCAGAACAAGAGTAATGAACTAAATAACCTACCTGGCTGTAATATATTACGATTCTAATTTTACCAGCTTTTACCAGTATCTGGGAGGAAGGAAGGGATTACTTAAACCCTGAACTTTTGTTACTAAATACACATTACGAAGTAAGGACTTAGATTTACTATGCTAAACTTCCCCCAAACCCTCTGAGAATCGGTATTTTCTAAATAAATATTTTAATAACAAAATGTTTTAGTAATAGTACTAACTAGCTATTATTTGTGTGCTTGGGATGTTTTACATACGTCCATTACTCATCCTCCTGACTCCAAACACTATGCTCTTAACCTCAACCTCACCATTGTCCCTTTTGAGTCACCTGAAGTAATATGCTCGTTGTGTTTTAATACTGAAACTTACGAGTTAGGGATGATCACTAATAAATATAAATAGATGGTGTTTTTTCATTTCACAATTACTCGCAGTATTAACAAAACTTCTTATATAACTCAAAAGCCTGTCTGGGTAATTAGATCGGCCCAGGAAGTCCTATGGACCATATTCCTTTGAACTGGAACAGATCCCACACCACCTCAAAACCGGGGACACTTCGGGTCAAGGGAACAAACACTCTGCAGCCGCAACATTACATTTCTGCACCGAGTACCACGCCTAACCCCGCCTAACTGAAATACAAGCAACACAATCGCTTTCTGGAATTAACCACTGCGACTTTCACGTGGACTTCCCTCTCTCCAAAATGAGACCAAACGACCAGACTCGTTAGCGGGTAAAGATCCAGGCGGCCGGAGCCCTGCTGGAGGATCGGACGCCGGGGCACAGGGCACACCTTCAGTGTCACCCGCTGCTGCCCGGCAGCCGCCCCCTCCTCCTCTCCAACCCAAAGGCAGCCCAGGGAGTGGCAGGGGCGTCTCGGGTCTTTGGCGGCCCGCTGGCACCGTTCCCCTACTTAGCCTCTAACCCTCAAGGCAGGGAGGGCTTTTCTAGAAGTCCCGTTTCTGGGCTGAGCAGGGGAACCGGGACGGAGTGCGGGGCACGCGAGCGGGGTGCCGCGAGAGGCGTCACGGCTCGACTCTCGCGGGGCTAAAGCGAGCGGCGGCCGGAAGCCAGAGTCCAGCCAGGGTACCTTGCGTCCAGCGGCAGAAGATGGTGTCAGAGAGACCGGGGCTGCTCTTGGCGCCCCACACCAGCTCCATCAGCTCTTTAGTCAGTTCGGACATGATGGGGTACCGGCGAGCGGGTCTTGGCTTTCCGGACTCCTGCCCCGGCACATGGGGAAGGGGCGGCTTCGGAGACCGGCGTGGCGGGACGGCAGCGGCAAACGAGCTGGAAGGTTAGACGCAAGGAAGGCAACAGGAGAGAGACCTACTTGCAGGGACCGAGCCTGTCAAGCCCCCTCGGAGCCGCAGCGAGGAGTTTCCCGCACCGGAAGTACTGGGGCCACTTCCGGCTTCTCTTTCACTACCGCCCCCAAGGCCGGAGGGCCAGGCGGCGCCTCCCCGGAAGCGGAAGTGGGGGGGGCGGTGTTGGGAAGAGCCGAGGGCGGGTTGGCGAGCACCTGGCAATTTCTGAGCTCAGTCCCAGGGCCCGGTGGTGCAATGGCGTCTTTTGTGTTGGGAGAAGCGTCGCGTCCCGTGGGCGCTGGCACATTCCTACACCTGGAGTACCCCCTTCCTGTCCGCGCTGCTTTGGCCTTAGCTGGGGTGTCTGAGGCCCAAGCCCTAGGGCCCAGAAACATGGCCTATACCTTAAAATGTGTAATATTAATTCTGCCAAACCAGAGCTTTGAGACGATGGTTGAATCTCCGGGAGGAAACATCTGTGTCTGTGTCGAGGAGCCGCCGATAAATTGAAGGCTGTCAGCCTCTTGCTCAGTCATATAAAGTCAAACCAACTATTAACAGAACCGAAAAATGTCGCGTAATGGGCACTGGAAATGCCTCTCCCAGGTGTCTAACGCAGAATTACAAAGCTACTTAGAGGAAAACAGATTCAAAGCGGCCTGTCTGTAAATGGTAGTGCAATTTCATCTACATCTTTCTAGACTGTAGGGTGTGTGGGCTAAAGACCAGGTTATAAATCATTGACAAGCATTCAGTTAAATTTAGTTTGGGTGAAAACTTCTATCTGTGCTGCTTCAAAAGAAGGGAATTTATTCTGGCTGAGCTTTGAATTTACAACGAAAAGGCAAACTCTGATGGGTTTCTTTCAGGTAGCAAGTAAGAGGGTGTGCTAATTTATACTTTATTTCCGACTTAGGCAACCCTTGCTGTAGTTAAAAGGAACTGTTCAAAGTGCCTGAACCATACCCATAGCCTTCCTCCTAATTGTTATTCCCTTCGGAATATCCTTTATCTTACTATTTTTTCAAACCAAATCTTACCCATTCTTCAGGACGTAGTATAAGTTGTCACTTTGTAGTAAAGCTTTCTCCAGTTATTAAAACCTAAAGGAAAAATTGTAGCTTCTGAAATTTCATTCTACCTTATCTATAACTTGCTTATATTTGCAAAGAATTATTTACTCTTCTCGTGCGGTATATGTTTATGGAAGCCAAGGAGCTGTCTTATTCATGGCACCTAATACAGAGCCTTGAATATACCTGGGTCTCAGTACCTGTTAGATGACAGAATGAAACTTGTCTTTATTGGAACTTAAGAATTCACTATCTTTCAGTAAGGGAGGGAACCAGGGGAAGTACCATTGACTGGTCCAATTAAATATTTAATATTTGCATGGGTGATTTACAATTTGCATAACTATTTCACTTCCTGAAAGACAGAGAAGGGTCAATGTTGATAGATCCTGTAAGTGGCAGAACTCTTAAGTTGAGGTGTTTGCCACATTTGGTTTCCTTCCATTAATATACAGATAGTAGTTATAGATTTGACTGTCCATAGATAGAAAGAAAAAGCTATACTTTCAAAATATTTTTGAAAATGAATTATTTCTTGATCTGTGATTTTTCTTAGTTTCGGGCTATGGGCAAGCTGGCAAAATCTTGGGTAGACATTGATATGTATGTTCTTTCCACCTTTAGATTGTAGTCTTTATTTGCAGTGTTCTGCATTTTTTAATTAGCAGGACATATTTTTAAGTAGGAATATTTGATTAATGTTAAATTATTTATGTTCCTTAATTATTCATTACTTACTGCATTTAAATCGTGAACTTGCTTAAATTAGAGTAAAAATGCAAATTAATCGTCTTTTAAAATGTTCTTATTCAGTAATTACCTAGAAAAATAAAAATTGCAAACAGTCAAGTTTGTTGCATATATTTCTGGTACAGGACAATAAAGCCTTCTTCTTTTTTTATAATGACTTGAAAATTATGTAAATTTCCTTCGGAGTATTTATCTTACTCCATACTTTAGCATACTATTATTTTTTTTCCTTAGGACCATCTATGGTTTTGATTAAATTGATGTGTCTCATTAAGATGCACATAGGTTGCATAAAAGATCTTTAATCCTAAAACAGAGTTTCCTGTTCACACATTAAGTTTTATTTGTGGTATTTCTCTTTCTTTCAAATTCAAGTCAGGGCACTTCCATAAAACTGGGCTTAGATTTCCATAATAATTAATTCTCTTTAGCCATGTTACTACTTCACAGAAGCAGTATTAATTACTCATTATCAAACACTAACTCTGTGCTTAATTATCTTTTTGTCTTTCCCCAAATTTGCCTGTCAACTAAAAGCAAAACAGCTTCATTACCAGGTTCTTAGCAAGTATCATGAAAAGAACAATTCTCTAACTAGAAGCCCTTGACTCCTAATTTAGTGTATTTGCACTACCACTTATTTAGGAGAAATCAATCTTTCAAAAAACCTGCCCTTCAATAAGATTAATAAGTTCTAGGCAGGTTGCTAAGACAATCCCCTACTCATTTATTAATAAAACTATTTAATTTATATGCCCTATGTCTTCCAATAACAGTGTAAATCTATCAAGCAAATGAAACTCTTTCCTTTGCATGACCCTAACCTCATCTCAGCAGGATAATTTTCCTATCAAGCATACCAAGTTCCTTTTAAACCCACCATTTTCATACTCAAGTATAACACAGTGTGTCATTTCCCAAAGCATTGCCTACGAACATTAATACCTGGTGGAAAAGGGGTTCTATCATTAAATGCGGTCTTAAATAAAGTTAAACAAGAGATGGGATTATATTCAGGGTTAAAAGACACCTAAGTGTCCATTATCAGATGAATGGATAAAGAAGATGTGGCACATATATACAATGGAATATTACTCAGCCATAAAAAGAAACGAAATTGAGCTATTTGTAATGAGGTGGATAGACCTAGAGTCTGTCCTACAGAGTGAAGTAAGTCAGAAAGAGAAAGACAAATACCGTATGCTAACACATATATATGGAATTTAAGAAAAAAAAATGTCATGAAGAACCTAGGGGTAAGACAGGAATAAAGACACAGACCTACTAGAGAATGGACTTGAGGCTATGGGGAGGGGGAAGGGTAAGCTGTGACAAAGTGAGAGAGAGGCATGGACATATATACACTACCAAACGTAAGGCAGATAGCTAGTGGGAAGCAGCCGCATAGCACAGGGAGATCAGCTGGGTGCTTTGTGACCACCTAGAGGGGTGGGATAGGGAGGGTGGGAGGGAGGGAGACACAAGAGGGAAGAGATATGGGAACATATGTATATGTATAACTGATTCACTTTGTTATAAAGCAGAAACTAACCATTGTAAAGCAATTATACTCCAATTAAAAAAAAAAGGACACATTTGAATCATTTTGTTCACTGAGCTTCTCATAGTTTATGTTCTGCAGAATACTGTTTGGGAATCACTGATATAATGGAATAGACTTTTGATAGGAATTAGAAAACTGAATGTTAGTTTTTATTTGGGTACTGTGACCTTGGATGGGTCACTTAACTCGCCATACTGTGCTTTCTTCATCTATAGAGAGGACTAACTGATCACCTCAATATCCCATTTACTTTAGCTACTGCTCAACTTCTATGATTTAAAAAATTGGCTGTTTAGAAGTTTAAATATATGGAAGGAGTGAGAAGGAAAAGAATGTTGAGCAAGCATAAAGAGTAAACAAATAATTTAACATTATTCTTCACTAACACATAGAATAAAAGAAGTTAATTCGCCACTGATCACTTACTTGTGCTAACATTTTAACTTAAGATCCAATCCAAACTTGCGAATTAATCCAGAACCAGCTATATTAGATGAGTACATAATATATTCACACTTGGATGTGTCATAGGTGCTTCAAACTCAGTATGTGCCAAATCAAACATCTTTCCGCATAAAACCTGCTCCCCTTTCAATGTTTCATAATCAGTGAATGGTGCCATTATCCATAAAAAAGCACATTTTAAAAAACATCTTTATTGGAGTATAATTGTTTTACAGTGGTGTGTTAGTTTCTGCTATATAACAAAGTGAATCAGCTATACACATACATATATCTCCATATCCCCTCCCTCTTGCGACTCCCTCCCACCCTCCCTATCCCACCCCTCTAGGTGGTCACAAAGCGCCGAGCTGATCTCCCCGTGCGATGCAGCAAAAGCACATTTTTTAATGGTACCAATAAATAACTTCTTTGAGCCTCAGTTGCCACATATATAAAATAAGCTTATTAATAAGAATTACATTGTACAGTGATTATGGGATTTAACAGAGTACGTAAAAGATATAGGCACGATGAAAAATCCTATTCTTATATTAGCTATATTAATGGTTTGAACAAGGAAGCATCGGAGGAAAGGTGGAAGATGAATTATTCCTGCATTTGAGCTGGAGAAGGCGTCAGAGAAGTTTGAACTGGATAGAATTTTGACTAGAGAAGAAAGGGAGGATGTACATTTAGGCATTAAATAACCCATTGTGGCAGGAGCCTGGTATTTGTGTCACTAGAGAGAGATGAGTTAAGAATATCAGGTTGAGGAGGGTGCCGTAGACTGAATTGTGTCTCTTCTGAATTCATGTTGAAGTCCTCACCTCAATGTGACTGAATTTGGAGATCGCGCCTTTAAAGAGGTAATTAAGGTTAAATGAGGTCATAAAAATAGGGCCCTAATCCGATAGAACTGGTGTCCTAATAAGAGGAAGAAACACCAGGTCTCTCCCTCTCTCTACTTTTCTGTCTCTCTCTCTCTCTGTGTCTCCATATGTACACAGAGAAAAGGCCATGTGAGGGCACAGTAAAAAGGCAGCATTCTCTAAGCCAGGAAGAGAGGCTTTACCATTAATCAATGCTGACAGCACCTTGGTCTTGTACTTGCAGCTTCCAGAACTGCGAGAACATTAATATCTATTGTTTAGACCACTCAATTTCTGGCATTTTGTTAGGGCAGTCTGAATAGAATAATATCGAGAGCCAGAATCTTAAGAATG